TTTTTTTTTTGTAAAATTGAGTGACTAAGAAAATTAAGAAACACTAATAGAGTACTAAAAAAGAAAATACTTGTCACATGCATGAATAGAACATGGAAGGAAACATCATTGTAATTACAAATTAGCTTCCATCCATGCAATAGGATTTCCCCTAGTGTGAGTTGAGATCAAGCATTACTAATAATGGGTTTCTCCTACTTGACTTCGTGGGCATGCAAGAATCGAACCCACAACATCAAAAGAAATGTGTTTGGCGAATTACTACAAGACCTTTCTGGCACAGTTAATTTAATTTAATTGAATATTAATTGTTTATCATCTTTGTTTTCTTTTTTATCAAAAAATCAAATTACATATGTAACAATTCAAAAAATAAACTTTTAAATCAACTCAAACATGAGGAAATGTAGTAAAATTTTACTATTCTACACTAGTATAAATCAATTTCTAGTCTGATCCGTAAGAATCTATTTTTGAAGTTTGGATAACTTATTAATGAAAATCACAACTCCTTCACCTGCTTAAGAGATTTTTTTTTAGTATTGAAAATGATAGGCTATAGTCGTTGGATTGTGGACGAAAGCACAATCGTTCTCAGGAAAAGGATTCGCGACCTGAAAATAATCGAAAGAAACTACGAGCCACCGGCTGACTGGATGGATTGGGGAGAAACAGTGCTATACGAGTTACGATTCAATGATTTGCTAGATCACGAGGGTTCTGCAGTCAGCAGTTGATGAACACTCACCCCGGCGTCGCCATGGGGATGATAGCTCTGATCACCTTCAGTGTGCCGACCTCTGCCGCTGTGGTGTTCTTCCAACTAACGGAGATGACTAAGGAGATTCTAAGTGCTGTATTTCGAGAAATATAAGGGAAGTAGAAAACAGGATCTTTTCTTTTTCTTTGTATTTTCTGCACGAACGTGTGTATTCTCCTGTCTTTTGCTGGCTCATATATCTCATCTCACAGCTAGCAGTCTTCCAAGACTCCATTGAATAAGCCTCGACCTACAATAGAACAATTAATGGATGAAAAACAAATACATGGGGATAAGGAAGGATAAATAAATAATTAATACGAGAGGGAGCTCCCTTCAGTCCAAGACGCAACAGCCATAGCTGATGAACGTAGCTCCTGCTTCGTTGGATCAAAACCGCACCAGTAAGTTTGTATGTCTTCCCATTTCTCTCTGGTTGTGATGATGGTGATGAGGTTTTGAACCAACGAGTCAGCAGCCAAGTACCAGCCCTTTCGCTGCCTCGGGCTGGACTGAAGAGAGCTCCCTCCTTTCAAACAAACCATTTAATTCTTTTAATTTGCTACACAAAATGCCCCCTCAGGATCCTCCTTTTTAAAGAAGTCGTCGGCCTAGCAGGAATCCCGGCCAATTGAAATTTCTTTGATGCAAGGATGAAACACAGGGCCCTGAAACGCCACCAGTACAGTTATGTAGGACCCTTATTCTGTACAACTGCGCGACCTAATCTGTTCTCACATGCATGTGTGGAAGAAAATCCAAATACCATGTCCTCATCAACTGTAGTAAGGACTTGCTGAGACATGCCAGTTGGAGATCGAATATATTACTCATATACTATATATATAGTAAAAAAATGTGTGGCAGGGTATGAAGAAAAGATATATGTATCTATGCATCATAAAAGAAGAGTTTTGTTTTAGGTTTTTGAATACTATTAAATTATAAAGTAAAAATTATTAAAATGATTAATAAATATTATTTAAATTTCACATAATTTAGGTTATATATATATATAACTTTTTAAAAAAAATTAATTTATTTATAAAAGGGAGAAAAATGAAATGAATGGATGTGGTGGTGCGACATGCAAATCTAGGAAAGATTTAGTGAATGGCAGGCTAGCAGGCTAGCCATGTATACATCTGCTGGTATTAGTATGGTTCGAAAACATATTAACTGGGCGTTTCCAGTCGGCCAAATGGACAAGACATAACAACGCACAGTCATGTCGTACTCTGCTAAATATCTTTTCATGTTGTACATTCAGGTGGAAACCTGCTCACTCCCCTCCTTAATTACCTGCTGTTCTTACACAGTACTTCCCATTGTTTGGACAGAGGAGTGCTAATTGCGCTCGATGGACTGCCAACGGGGACACGACTGCAGCTGCACTCGGCAGTTCGCTGACTGTAGCTAGCTAGCACTTCTCATATCTCCGATCTACAGGTGACCATTAACTGCCAACCAACTTTAACATATGTTTACCAAAATCTTTTGACACATTACGCAACCAATCAAGCTAGTTCATTTTCAAACAATCTGGTTTCTTTCAACTCCAAGATGAAACGAAGAGGCATAGATGCAATGAGATTTCATGTCTTGGAAAGCGGAATTCTGAACATTTTGCAGATTCTCGGAGCTCTAGCTCATGGTGTTTTGATTGAGTTGTTCTTTTTTCATAATTATTTTTTAAAGTTGCATTTTAGAATTTGCTTATGGTCAATTCTAAAAGTAAGTTTGTTTCTTTGAATTGACTATTTTTTTTAACAAAGTTACAAATGGCGGGGGAAAGGGTTTAAATTTTAATTTTTAGGTTAAGAGGATGTATTTTACTAATTGATTTATAATGATTGCATCATGATGATGTATTTTATAAATCAATTTATAATTATTAGATTTTGAAATCCAAGTACTTTTGAATTAGCTATTTAATTTTAAAAAAAAATTATTTTACATTTTATTATAATTATAATTTCAAATTAAGACATTTTATTAAAAAAATGTTTATTAATTAAATTTATAAAAAAAAAAGATAAATTTTTAAAAAACTTATATTATTTTTATTAAAATTTTAGATAATTTATTTTTAAAAAATATTATTTTAAATTTTTATAATAATTTTTAAAAGTAATATAATTTTAAAAAAATTTTACTTCATTTTTTTTTTATCAAATTCGATTAATAAATTTTTTTATCAAGTTAAAATTAATTACATATATTAATTAAATAAAAAAATAAAATCGAAATCCTTAAGATTTAAAGGCATTACAAATAAGAAGTGAACAATTCTAATCAAGGTTAATGCTGATGATCGGAGCGGATTGTTAAATTCCATTAATAAATTTTTTTTAAGAAGTCTTGTAGGCTTTTCATTTTTTCCTGGTGAAAAGAAGTCTTATTGTTAAATGTCACTGTAACACAACTGTAGGAGTTGATGACAGAACTAGGAGTGAGACACAGGGAATCTTGCGGGGTTAATGTACTTTACTCTATAAAAGGAGAGAGAAAAAAAAAAAAAAAATCTTATATCGTTGAAAAGTGAGAGCCGTCCCATTCCTGCATACGCGCCATGTCTTGTCATTTCACTTTTAGTGCACGCTGTATTCCATTTTCTTGGGCCAACAAGATCATCTCCTAGCCTAGGTGGGCTTGAACTCCTAAATAAACTCATGAATCTTCTTGGGCCAAGCCCAATGCTTCGATCTCTGATTTGGGCCTGATATTCACAACATTGTAACTATTAACTAGGCCCCTTTTTCTTTAATGGGAACTAAGCCCTTTTTACTCTTTAGGACCATTTTTTTTA